GGGGGGGGTGACAAGAAACATATACAATTTCGTCACATCGTTGGTAAATAATACAAATCGCTCACACAGTCAAGGCTTGACAAAGGGACCGGTCGGTCTTGAAACATTGCGACAGGTTTAATAGTACATTGTTTGTGAAAAAAGTAAAACTTTAATATCAAAAACATACCTGGTATGCCGGTATAGTAGGCCAAACATGTTTGACAGCAGATGTTTGTGTTATTTCCTGCATAGCATTGACTGGCAGTTAATCCGGTACAGTCTCCTCGATCACCATAATCACAACCTAAACAAACAGATCACAAAAGTAACAACATAAACAAACAGACCATCATAGTAACAACCTAAACAAACAGATCACAAAAGTAACAACATAAACAAACAGATCACCAAAGTAACAACATAAACATACAAACCACCATAGTAACAACATAAACAAACAGATCACCAAAGTAACAACATAAACAAACAGACCATCATAGTAACAACCTAAACAAACAGATCACCAAAGTAACAACATAAACAAACAGACCACCATAGTAACAACATAAACAAACAGACCACCATAGTAACATTATAAACAAACAAAGCACCATAGTAACAACATAAACAAACAGATCACCATAGTAACAACCCAAACAAGGATATCACCATAGTAACAACATAAACAAACAGACCACCATAATAACATTATAAACAAGCATATCACCATAGTTACAACCTTAACAAACAGACCACCATTGTAACAACATTTACGAACAGATCACTATAGTAACAACCCAAACAAACAGATCACCATAGTAACAACATAAACAAACAGACCACCATATGAACAACCTTAACAAGCATATCACAATAGTAACAGCATAAACAAGCATATCACAATAGTAACAATATAAACAAGCAGATCACCATAGTCACAACATCAACAAGCAGCCCCCCATAGTAACAACCTAAACAAGCCGATCACCATAGTAACAACATAAACAAACAGACCACCATAGTAACAACCTTAACAAGCATATCACAATAGTAACAACATAAACAAGCATATCACAATAGTAACAATATAAACAAGCAGATCACCATAGTCACAACATCAACAAGCAGACCCCCATAGTAACAACCTAAACAAGCCGATCACCATAGTAACAACATAAACAAACAGACCACCATAGTAACAAACTAAACAAGCATATCACAATAGTAACAACATAAACAAACAGATCACCATAGTAACAACATAAACAAACAGACCACCATAGTAACAACATAAACATACAGACCACCATAGTAACAACATAAACAAACAGACTACCATAGTAACAACATAAACAAACTGATCACCATAGTAACAACATAAACAAACTGATCACCATAGTAACAACCTAAACAAGCATATCACAATAGCAACAACATAAACAAACAGATCACCATAGTAACAACGTTATAAAACAGACCATCATTGTAACAACATAAACAAACAGATCACCATAATAACAACATAAGCAAACAGACCATCATAGTAACAACATAAACATACAGACCACCATAGTAACAACATAAACAAACAGACCACCATAGTAACAACCTAAACAAGCATATCACAATAGTAACAACATAAACAAACAGATCACCATAGTAACAACGTTATCAAACAGACCATCATTGTAACAACATAAACAAACAGATCACCATAATAACAACATAAACAAACAGACCATCATAGTAACAACATAAACATACAGACCACCATAGTAACCACATAAACAAACTGATCACCATAGTAACAACATAAACAAACTGATCACCATAGTAACAACATAAACAAACAGACCATCATAGTAACAACATAAACAAACAAACCATCATAGTAACAACATAAACAAACAGACCATCATAGTAACAACATAAACAAACAAACCATCATAGTAACAACATAAACAAACAGACCATCATAGTAACAACATAAACA